CTGTAGATAAATAAAAATAAAGAACTACGACAGATGTGTAATATATTTAATGCCGCCGAACCATGTGTTACAATGCATTCATGTGATGACTGTCAAAGAGTAAAGCAAGCACTGCTGAATAAAGTATGATTTTATCTTTTACGAAACGTTTTTTTTCATATGGAATGCAGTTGGAGGTCAACCAATCACAGAACTTGAGAACTAATCACGGGGTTTGTCAAACAGAGCACATGGTGTAGTCCTAAACGATAGCTGGGGATTCTGGGTAATGTAGTGTCTTCTGCCATCCTTTACTCCGAAAAAATATTTGTTTCTCCGAATCGAAGGGGAAAAATACAAAAGCATTGCACACAATTTAAACCAATCAATGTTGTGTAATTAACAAGGATAATCTGGTGTTTTTTAGTCGATGAGTAGTGCAGATATCACTGTAAAATCAATCGACAGTAAGGGGAATACTTACTTCCGGGTGTACAATTCTCCGTTATCCAATGGGAATGGACGCTCACATTGCCTTTAAGGGCAGCCGACACAAACGAATGCCGTGCTTCCATGAGCGTCAAATCCCGCCGCAGATGGGAATACATTGCAATCAGTTGAAAGCTATTTGCGTCCCTTTATGAAGCTGAAGGAGCCTCGGCGCGTCACAACTGCACGCCACGGGACCCTGACCAAACGTCGCTTCTGGACGATTATGGAGTGAGAGTGTGTTGGTCTAGCTTTGTCATTTGGGAGTGTGTGGGAGAGAAACTCCCTTTTGGAGGGAACACAGGGATTTTAGCCAAGATTCAAGGCTTTTATTGTCATTCGTACATAGCTACAGTGTAGTTATTGTGGGGGAAACTTCTGCAGCAAAGGAGAGTCAGGACTAGGGATGGGTACCGAGCCCCGGTATTAAACGGGCCCCGGCGCTGAATTATTAAAGACCGTGGTACCGTTAAGCTCCGACGTTATCGGTCTTTTTATCGGTACTGGAGACATGTAAAAAATATGTCGTATTATTGCTACACAAACATTATATTGCAGTTTTAGTGTCGCCAACTCCGTTTCTAACATGCAAAAAGACTGCAAAATGCGTAATCTTTAGTATTTTCGATCTCTCCAATCCAGACGAGAGATCTCTCTTCCCTGTCTGCTTGCGAGGGGGCGGGGCAGTTTACACACATGCTTGCTACATGCAGCAAGCAGCACACACACGGAGGAGATGGCGGAGAGAACGCGCTCCGAGGTGTGGTTAAACTGTACCCGTCTCGCTCGTTGCCTAAAGGGCAATAAGTGTTTAGCATGTAAGGGCGGTAACACGAGCAATTTCTCTAAACATCTTGCAAAAGTGCTCCACATTCAGACGGGGAAATGCACCGGGTTCGACTGTCTTTCTAGTGGCTCTGTATCCCCATCCACGAGTAATGTTTCCACGTCAGGTGTTATGGATGCTAGCAGAATTACACGGAGCTAACTCAATGATACAACCATGGGTTAATGATTAGCAGTAACCGAGTTATTTATTTTGTTAAAGTTTCAGCTATTCTGTTTACAGTTCTGTCATCAGATTATTTAATACAATTTGTTAAAACGTTGTTGTTTCTTTTGATGTGCAATATTATGTATTAATTTAAATAAAAAGCAATGTTAGTTTTGTTCACAATTTGTTTATTTTCATTTAATGGTTTATTTGAATAGGGACAATGCACATTAATGAACACTTTAGATAAATAATACTTCAAGTGTAAATATGCCGGATTTTAGCTTAGTCCCTGACATACAACGTATAGTTAGTTTACCTCATTTTTTTCTCCAAAAGAACCGATAAAAGTACCGTTAAAAGACCGGACCGATAAGCAGTATCGATAAAAGTAGTAGTACCGTTAAAACCTTAACGATACTGTTAGAGATTAAAAGGGAAAACTGGTCCGCTTTTCAAATCTCCCCGCGTCCCTATCAAGCTGGTTAATACAGGAAGGAATTCAGAGCTACCAAATAACCGTTAAACAATAATCTACTTTAATGATAATATGACAATGCAATACAATCAATACAGTACAAATTCAACACAGTTAATCCCTGGGATCCCGAATTTACCTGCACGTGAGCCAGCCAGAGGAAAGAGGCTGAACACCGCGTGTGTGTCTGTTTATACTCTTTGACAATGGGAGGAGTTATCAGATCCTCCCATTTAGAGCTCATTGATTGGCAGCCCAAATATCACAGACACCTCCGACCTTAGGTTTCCCCAACCACTGTAGCTAGATAAATTGAATGCAAATCAAGACATGCTCTCACCTTCCCCCATCTTCCTTTGTCCTCAAAAACACATGTCAACAGGCCCCACATCCAGCTCACAGTTTCACCCAAATTATTCCCATTTTAAGCTTATCCATAGTTTGCTAACATGAATAAATACAAATATAACTCTACAAATCCCCCTTTTTATCTCCTTCTCCAGAGATAAACTTAGACAAGGCATTTTGAAATATACCTACTGTCATTCTTTTCTACTGTGTCCGTCCCCCAAACATTGTATAAATCCATCCGAAGCTGGTATTTAGAGTACTTGAAAACTTCATGGAGACAGAACACCACTTTCCATGGCAGTGAAGGAACCCTGAGGGGGCAGCTGAGTGCTAAAATCATCAGCCCCCCCGGAGGAATAGCCCACAAGGACAGCTAATAGGGAGGGGGAGATGCGGCTTTCTCTTCACGGGTGGAACTGATCAGAGAGAAGTAGATTCCTCTGCTGCCTCGACAAGTCCCCTGTGCCGTCCTGGCTTGCCGTGTCTTTGTCCCCCCGATCCGCTGACAGCAGCTTCTGGGCTGCCTGCTAGAGAGATGTCTTCCTCCTCCTCCTCCTCCTCCTCCTCCTCCTCCTCCTCCTCCTCCTCCTCCTCCGGCCCGCTGATGGCGGCTTCCCGGGTCGTCTGCTGTAAGGATGTCTCCAGGGTCCTGCTCCTCCAGTCCGCTGCTTCCGAGTAGTCCACGCCTGCCAAGGCCACGTCCGTCCTGATGTCGTCCCCTGGTCCTAGCAGGTGGTTTCCCCGCCGCACACTGGCTCCCGTGGTACGAGCTGTCCCCCTTTTCTCCCAGGCAGACGGCATAAGAGGTCCGCTGGGTCACTCGGTCGGGGTCGGAGAGCCTGGGGTTGAGCCACTTTGTCCTCGTGCTTCTCGGGTCCCCCTTTTGGCGCCAGCAACCTGTGTGGAGAAATCTGATACAACTCCCTCAAGCCTACGCTCAGCTGTTTTGACCCACTTGGAGCCTGTTGGTGGGGTGTCTTGAAACAACAGCCGTCTGTGAACAGGTTTTCTAAATTAATTGTAGACCTCCTATCTGCCAGTGCAGCTTCAGAATCTTAATACTTGGATTGTGCCAACTAAATAAGAACCCCCACATCTTTAGGTAAACTAAATAACATATTTCAATAGCTCTGAATTTCTGACAAGCATCCGTGTTTATTTTTAAATGAAATCCTATTTAAAATCCAAATATAATATGAACTGCTAATGTTTCTGGTAAAGAAACACACTAATGTTATGGATTCAAAAACAACCAAAATCACGATACTAACAAAGTGAATGATTTCCTGGTGATACTGCTTCTACCTGTCAGTGCTTAGATATTATCACGCTGAAAAAATGAATACAGAATTCCAACAAACTGTCATCAAATGTCTTTCTATTATAAATGTAGATGAAATGTATATCCCCATAATGACCTAAACAATAAAGTCTATGGCTTTTACTTCTTTACCAGGCTAGTTACATGATGTTGTCTAAATTAAATTCTGTCTCAATACACTACTATGTTTTAGCTTTAACTGTAATATGTTCTTTCTACATTTCAAACCTCAGTTACTCTAATGTCTGTTAAAATATTACAAAATTGTTTCATTATCACAGGTCAACTTCTTCGGTTTCACAGTAGCCCCTTGGCCACTACTTCTTTGTTACCTGCTATAATTCCTATCAAGCTGGTTAATACAGGAAGGAATCCAGAGCTACCAAATAACCGTTAAACAATAATCTACTTTAATGATAATATGACAATGCAATACAATCAATACAGTACACATTCAACACAGTTAATCCCTGGGATCCCGAATTTACCTGCACGTGAGCCAGCCAGAGGAAAGAGGCTGAACACCGCGTGTGTGTCTGTTTATACTCTTTGACAATGGGAGGAGTTATCAGATCCTCCCATTTAGAGCTCATTGATTGGCAGCCCAAATATCACAGACACCTCCGACCTTAGGTTTCCCCAACCACTGTAGCTAGATAAATTAAATGCAAATCAAGACATGCTCTCACCTTCCCCCCATCTTCCTTTGTCCTCAAAAACACATGTCAACAGGCCCCACATCCAGCTCACAGTTTCACCCAAATTATTCCCATTTTAAGCTTATCCATAGTTTGCTAACATGAATAAATACAAATATAACTCTACAATACCCATCCCTATGCAGATATCACTGTAAAATCAATCGACAGTAAGGAGAATACTTACTTCCGGGTGTAAAATCCTCCGTTATCCAATGGGAATGGATGCTCACATTGCTCTTTGCGTCCGTGATACAAAGGGGACATGATCAAATAGGAATATAATTATCTTTTAAAAAAACGTTAACTAAAGGGAACAATCTATTTGACACAGCTGAAGCTCTGGCCTTCCTTAAAAACTAACTAATTTAATAAAAATCCCAGTTGTATTACACACAATGCACTGTTTTTTGAGAACAAAAATTCGTAACTAATGCACCATAATACATTCTGACAAAAAATACAAATTATTATGAATACAAATAAAATAAAAGAAGCCCACCGTGAGTTACTACAAGCTATAAAGTAGATTTTAAAAACGTTTGTAGAATAAAAGCTCACTGCTGGACGTTGTAGAAATGCGTGTGTGCACCACGACAAAGGAGCCTCATTCACTTTACATTGGGGTTGTTTCCGTGGTGCAGACACGTAAATGTAGCAGAGTTTGTGACTCCACCACGCAATGCGGTGTTAAGGAGTCGTGGTGGAGTCACGCATTCTGGTGGGACCAGGTTGGTTGAGATGCATTTATAAATGATGAAACGAAAATGTTACTTAGGTTTTCCTTTTGACACATTTTGACAACTCCTTTGTTAGTTTAGTCAAATCATAGAAGTTCCCTTATGAGTCATTTATTTCCCAGGTTTTTTTTCAACAGTTATTTCCATGTTCACTCATGGGTCTACAGGTTTTATTTTGATGTGGAGGCCATTAAGTGAGCAAAGCACTATTCGAGGAATTATCTGTGGTGTTTGCGTCGGGTCCTCGATCAGATGGTATCTCTGCAGTGTCAGCGCTGTGGACACTTTCAGCTCGTTCATGGCAAAGTTCTGACCAATGCAGTTTCTGAGTGAGGAAAACAGCACCAATGAGAGGAATATGGTGATAAATTAAGCTTTAAAGTAACATCATATAGGAAGACAGCACTTAAGGTTATGGAAATCAGATGAACAGTCAATACCAAATGATATATATATTTTTGATTGACATAATATTGGAATAGGTTGGACAAGAAGATATGGCAACAGCCTTTCAGTAAGCCTTTCGTGTTTGCCAAATATTTTTTTACTGCAGGGCTATTGTAATGTGTTGTAAACTTAGCTGTAGCCCTATTTTTAGTGAGCTAGTCACACGGTATCAGTGGCGGCGCTAGGGGGTGGCTACTTGGGCTAAAGCCCCGGATGTTTTCTGAAAAGCCCCGGACGTTTCGCTTAAAAAAAAAAATGTGTCGGGAGTAATGTGCAGTACCGGAGTCCACCAGAGAGGCAGCCGCTGCGGGACATTAGCCTGCGTACTGCGTAGCCTTCCCTGCCCTGAAGAAGAAATGATCCTTCCTAGTGCCTGACGAGTTTTAAGCTAATAGCCTATAAAGTTATGGATATTAGAAAGTTATTTTCATCGAAGCAGGCGCCACAAGCTGCAGCAGCAGCAGTATCAACAGCTGACAACAATGTCATCACCAGCAGTGAAGAAATGGATGATGTTTCAGGTTTGTTAATCTAATGATGATATCTGCACTCTGGCTGACTGAGTAAGAAGTGAAAAAGAGTGATGTAACGTTAATGTTATAGCTAGTAAACATGGAGTAACCACACTAAGTATACCCTTATATGTTAGTATGTATACAGAACATGACTAAAAATTGGAACCATAGCAACGGAACTGACAGGCACCGGAACTGACAGGCAACCCTCTGAATCAGACTCCGATTGGCTGTGACTGCATCCACTCAGTGTCTGAATCAGAAACATGACTGTGTTCACACCGGACGCGATGCGATGTTTGGGGGCGGCGCGATTACATGTAAAGTCAATGCAGAGACGCGGACAGACGCGAATTAGCTCCGACGATGAGCATGAAGCGGTGGATGCGGCGCGAATCACGCGATTGAGGCGATTGAACTGTGCCGCGTCAAACGCGAGAGTTAAATTTTCTCAACTCGAGCGTCAAATTCACGTGACGCGTTCTCGCGGAAGCCAATCAGCGGTGAGGTTCTCAGCCTGCCGTTACCGACGTTCAACCAGAAAACATCAGCCATTAGCTGTTAGCAGTTAGCACACAGAGATCACAGCTCCTCATATCTGTTCAGAAACTGGACAAAAGTTAAACAAGTACAAACCACAGACTGACTGTGTCATGGCGAATACAGTCGCTGGTTTATTTATATCTGTAGGCCGTTGTTATGAGTGTGGAGTGAGCATATACAACGTTAGCTTAGCCTGGTCGACCCAATCTCCAGAGGTGTGGACTCGAGTCACATGACTTGGACTCGAGTCAGACTCGAGTCACAAATTTGATGACTTGAGACTCGACTTGACAACATCACAAAACACGTGCGACTCGACTTGAACACCAATGACTCGGGACTTGACTTGGACTTGAGCCTTCTGACTTGAGGTGACTTGATACTTTAATTCAGAGGTCTCCAACACGCCGATCGCGAGCTGCCGCTAGAAGAGCAGACTCCCGTTGGGGAGAGCAGAATCTTCAGCCACTCCTACTCTTGCTGAGAATCCTTGCAGGCAGGGGCGGGTCTTTATTTAGCTGGGCCACCATGCGGCCAATCATATGCGAGGACACACTAGGATCATACCATTATGTGAAAGAAGGGTGGGGGCACAGCATGTGTAGTGGTACAGGCCAGCTGCACAGAGCGACGGGGAGCCGGATTTAAATGCAAGCGCGTCGGAAAAAGTCAAGAAATTTGCGAAAACCGAAAAAAGAAGCAGCATCTGGCTGCTTTTCAATGATATTGGAGAAAGCAAAGCTGAGTGCAGGATTTGTAAAATTAAAATAACCTTCAGAGCAGGTTTTTTTTTTGGTAACCACTCAGGATTTATTGTCAGAAGTGGGAGAAGTTCAGACAATTACAAAAGTTACAATCAGGGTTCCCGCGGGGTCTTAACAAGTCTTACAAAGTCTTACATTTGATAATCTGAATTTAAGGCCTTAAAAAGGTCTTAAATATGATTCAGAAAGTTTTAAAAATGATCGGATTTGAAAGGTACTTCTATGTTGCGAGAGCGTCTAAATGTGTTTTGGGGGAAATGTCCGGGCTGCAAAGTAACCAGTACGGTAATAGCCTTCCAGTTCCCCCCAACAATTTGTATTGAATTAAATCAACATGGAACCAGTAATCACTAACTTTGTTTCCCCCGGCCCCTTATTGGAGAACACCCAGCTAGTAACTAGGCAACCAAGCTTCAGCTCATGTAGCCTATCTTCGAATCTACTTACAAATAAATATGGGGAAGTGTAAGTTCAACCGTATTTGGTTGGAAAACATCTAATTTAGTGCTTGGTTGAAACCAGTGGAGGGAACGTGTTTGAAGCCCGCTGCACCTTTTGCAAAAGAAATTAGCGTTTGTTTTGCTAATGTAGCGTTAGCTAGTGCAGCAGCAGCTAATGCAGCAGCTCCTGCAACAACACCGGGGGACCTCCGGGCGAAGTTTGGGTCTACGTCAACCCTAAAAGCGGAGGTGCTGTAGACGCTAAATACCGTAGATAAACACCAATCATACAACAGCAACGATGAAAGATTGTAGCCAAGGCAGCATAGAACTGAATATAGCTCTTGTCACTCTCTCTCACACACACACACACACACACACACACACACACACACACACACACACACACACACACACACACACACACACACACACACACTAGGGCTGCTCGATTATGGCAATAATCAAGACTATGTTGGTCAATAATTAATATCACGATTATTAAATACGATTATTCATTGACTTTGAAAACATCTATTTATTGAACTTTAAAACAAATAATAATTTGAACAGTATCTTTTTAACTGTTGATTACCCTGAACGTATAATTCAACTGAAAAACCAATACAAAAATGTATTAAATAAATGATACATTACTAAAAAATTAATTAGATCAAATATGTTGTAGTGCACTGTCACAACCTAGCAAAGCAAAATAATCGTTTTTTTCCGATGTTGTTTTCGTAATTGTGGCAGGCCAAAATCATCGTAATTGCGATTAAAATATGATTAATTACACACACACACACACACACACGCACACACTCAAGCACACACATGCACACACATGCGGCTTTCACACCAGCACTTTTCCCTTTCTAGCTCCGAGCTAGAGCTTTTCTGGTTCAGCTCCGGTTTCCCTTTTCTGCTCCCGCTCTGTTCACACCGCCCATCACCCGACTGGTGCTGCCGCTGCTGCGTCATGACGTCACCGTTTACATCGCTGATTTGCTCCCCAACGGCGTTACAGCGCTCACAACAACAACAACGGGGAACTGCGTCGGGTTGATGATCGTGTTGCTTTTAATCACACGAAGCCAGATTAAATTGAATAACGACTTCTCCAACCTTATACTTTGCTCCAGAGTGCCGTGGTTCATTATTTATTAATGTGTTTCTGCAGCAGTGAGTGTTGGCTGCTCTTCCACGGGAGTTTATTCTCCTCCGTTAGCTCCCGGTTAGCTCACACAGCGGCCGCTCTAAAGTATTCACTGTCCGACTCACACAAGCAGCTGATACATATCCCCAGTTCCCCTTACGGCCCGTCCACACAGCAGCTTTTGGTGATTTGTCCACCGCTTCCAGCGCGTCTCCGCCCATTGACTTTGAATGGGGATGACGTCACTTTCCCTCGCTTGTCGCCGAATTGCATTGTGGGGGGGCGAGGCGAAGATTTCCAGGATTTCCAGGATGTTCAGGATTCCAAAGTTGAACAATGTTCAACTTTTGAGGCTGAGCTGGAAGCGACAGCCAATCAGATCCGTTTATGCAAATCTGACAGTTCAAGCGCTAGCCAATCAAACCGCGTGCAAGCTGGGAGAACGAGACCCGCAGTTCATTTCTATATTCCACAAAAATGGAGGAGAACTTAGTTATTGCGGTAGCAAATCACCCGGTTCTTTATGACCAGTCCCTATTTACTTACCGGGATACAAACCGGAGGAACCAGGCATGGGGGGAGGTGGCAGAGACAGTGGGTGAAACTGGTAGGTTTTCGCTTGTTTGGGGATTTTATATCCAGTTTACTTCGTTGCTAGTTTACTTCGTTGCTAGCAAGCATAGACAGTATCATTAGCCAGCATGGAATGTAGCATAAAATAGCACCATAAACATTAATCTCATAAATGTTCAAAATGTTAAAAAAATAAATGTTAATCATAGCCCTTCCTATTTGACAATAGTGTAGAAGATTCGGGTTTTTTTGCTTTGTATGTCGGGGGCGGGATATTCATGTGATATTCATGTGATTGGTTGTTGGTCGCGAAATCCCCAAGCTGTCAGACACGCCCAGCTCCAGGATTTTCAAGATTTGGTCAAAGCTGCTGTGTGGACACACCGTTAGCCTAAGTGAATGTGTGTTAGTCTGAATTGACGCTGTTTGGTATCACAACGCTGTTATGAAAGTTTCTCTGGTATAAAATGGGTGATGTTAGCATAGCAACCGAAGCTAAACTGACTACTTGCTATTGCTATCCTATTGTGGCATAAACCGTTTTCTACAGGCACATTTTACCGGCGTATTTGTATTATAATTCTACTTGTGATAGTCGGACACGACAACCTGTGCAGCCCATGTATTGATTCCATCCGATAGCTGCTATAATACAAAACAAAACGTCTGCCTCTCTCCACAATGATCAATAACAGTGAACGGATGGTCAAAGTAAGGTACAAATGAACAGAATCACACGAAGCCTGGTTAGTGTTGCCTGACTTTATAAAGTGTGTTTATAAGCACTACTGCTTGTAGGCAGGCATGACAGTCGACCCATGTTCAGGGGAGGTGGGTTTAGTTTCCTGCACGCCTCGACGTAAGAGAGACGTAAGCGACGCCACCTCTTAGCTCCGAAGCTCTTGCCTCTAGACCGACAATTTTTTGGAGCTGGAAGTTAACCGGATTCCGGAGCTAAGAGCCGGCGCCGCTGCGGTGTGAACAGGAAAAACCGGCGCTTTTCTTCTCCGAGCCGGAGCTGAAAAAGCGCTGGTATGAAAGGGGCATCACACACACACACACACTTTTTGTCTAACACGCTAACTCAGTTCTGTACTGTTATGCTGTTATGTTCAGTCACTGTTCTTATGTTGAACATGAATACATTTACTTTGTAAGTGATTATGGGACGTATTTCTTCTTTCATATCAATTTTCCTTCATACTTTATTGCCGTGAAATAGGTCTTAAATTCTATTCAATGTGGTCTTAAAAAGGTGTTAAAAAGTCTTAAATTTGAGTTGCGAAACCTGCAGGAACTCTGTACAATAAAAAGTCCTGCATTCAAAATGTTACAAGTAAAAATACAAAAGTATTAGCATCAAAATATACTTAAAGTACCACCTGCAGAGGGATCTAGATGCAGGTGTTCTCTTCCCCATAGAGACCGCCTCGCTGCACATTATCCCTTGCATAAAGATAGATTGTGGGTCCCTTATAACATGTTGTACACAGTGGAAATAAACATTCTGGTTTCCTCAACATCAGGGATCTTATACATTAAACTCCTTCTGAATCAAACCGTCACGGTAGCCTTACCTTACTGATCCCTCTTAAATTAGAAAAACACACGTTACTTTACCAGCAGAGAGAAAATGGATTATTAAATGATTAATGTGACTAATAAAGAACAATTTGATTATTGAGTATTATTCTGTTGATCATTACATTTGGTGAAAAGCACATAATGACTTGTTTATGACTCGTTTTGTCAAAGTTTAGGACTTGACTTGAACTTGAACTTGCCCATCCTGACTTGAGACTTGACTTGAGCGCAAAGACTTGAGACTTGACTCGGACTTGAGCGCAAAGACTTGAGACTTGACTCGGACTTGCAAAACAATGACTTGGTCCCACCTCTGCCAATCTCCATTCAGAAAACAAGCATTTTAAAAGGTTTTTCGCCTGCCGTCTGTCTGCAGACTTGTCAAGCATTCATTCATGGTCTTTACTAACCGGTATCAGTATGTTGTTACGTCGGCATCATTTAGAAACGTGTATTACAATTTAATCACGGTAAAATATGTTCATTTTGTTGTAGTTGTAGCTCCCGAGCCAGCGCGTCTTGTTTGAATGATGCGAGTAAACACAGCTGTTAGCCGCGGTGAAACTCGAGCGATTAGAGCGAAGCGAATATTCGCATCGCGTCCGGTGTGAACGCAGCATTACACTCTTTACGTCACAAACAAAGATGGTGGAGGAGAATAGATCTATAAAACGATAAGCAATGTGCCAGAATCAAGGTGAGACTATCCGCATCCTTTAAAACTCTACGCACATTCGTTTCACCAAAATATGTAAACAACTGTATTTGAGTGAATTAAGGCATTAGTTTGCTTCATTAAAGGTTGTTAATGAATAAGTGTTCTCCAGTGCCTTTTGTCCGCTTTAAGGTATTCTTAAGGTAGGGTTAATGTTGCTCTCAAAGTGCACCAGATTGATGCTTTTACCTTCAATATTTAAAAAAAAATCTTCCCGGGGGATCATGCCCCCGGTCCCCCCTAGAGGAGGCGACGACCCCCCTAAAGGATGTTCGGTCCACCCCCCACTTGTAAAAAATAGCACTTTACCCCTGCACCCCCCCCCCCCCCCCGCCCCCGCCAACAACTCCTGGGCTAAGCCCCGGATCTCCTACAATCCTAAATCCGCCACTGCATGGTATCATATGAGGACAAACCTTGGCCCAGCAGAGAAGGGCACGAATGCGTAAGGAGGCCTCTTGGAAACATTCTCCGGGAGAAAACGCAGTGGGTCAAAGACCTGGGTTGACACAAGATGGAAAAACAAACACCAGTGTGGCATTAATCACACTTTTAACATTTAATGAGTACATGCTCACGCCCACCCCTAATACAGTGAGTGAATAAACCATGCTAGCTCCTAGGAGTCACTCTGTGATGACATCTCGGACCAGTATATATACTACAGCAGTGGTTCCCAAACTTTTTGTGCCCAAGGCACACCAAAGGACAAGTAAAAATCTCAAGGCACACCTAGCCCTTATAACACGTGTTATCACTCATATCATGTAAAATATCTGTAAATGTGCATAATTATTTACTAATGCCAAATAAAATGTGACAAAGACAACTATATTACTCGTGAAATATTTCAGAAATTAATTTGAAACTTTATCAAATTAGGCTTCATCAAAGCAGCAACACACTCATTTAAACCAGACAGGTCACAAAATAAAAAATGAGGCAAAGGAAACTCAGCAGAAATTCAGCACAGAGAACTGTCAATGCAAGGAAGCTGCATTGTCCATGGTCCTGAACTACAAATTATAAATGTAACATTTCAGCAATCAGCATTGAAACATGTGCTATTGTAAATATTTTGCCGATTTACAAATTAGTGAGATACATGTGCCTGTCGGGGCGCGCAGATTTGTTTAATCCTTGGTGGCACTGAGGAGAGGGCCACTTGCAAGTCCTGTTCAACAGAGAGCCGTGACCTCCTGTTGTTCTTCATGTAAACCAGAGTAGAGAACGCCAACTCCAGAGATGGGGTCGTTACTAAAAAAATGTAATATATTACATATTACTTTTTTTTAAAGTAATATATTACACTACTTCGTTACTATCTACATAAAGTAACTCGTTACTTTACTCGTTACTTTACTCGAGCACGTACGAACTGCACATGCGTGAGTGGCAATAACTTTCCTTACCAGCAGGCGGCGGTAGTGTGTATCTGTCATTCAAAACAGGCAACAACCGGAAGACAGAGAAGAAGATATACGTGATATAAACAAACAACAAATAGCGTGTGCGTTAGCTTCACCTTAGCATGTGTTATTTGCAGGTGCTTGTTGAGGTTTTACGTGGTGTTTCCAGCAGTGGATAACAGCTTCTGGCCTGGACACAGTTTGCACCTCACCGTCACATTCCTGTCTATTCTTCGGACGAACTCAAAATAATGGGCATACCTCCACCCCTCGAAAGTTATCGCTGACTCAGCCATGTTTATGCAGCACTGCACGTGGAGTTGTGGACGCACAAGTCGCGCAGATTACGTACATATAAAGCTACAAAGTACTGATAGTAAATTTAAAATTAAATAATTATTTTTGTGTAGTTGTATATTGCAATAATAACGTATGGTTGTCACAAAATCCCACGGCACACATGGACTTGCCTCACGGCACACCGTTTGGGAACCACTGTACTACAGGCACTATAGGGTTTGCATTAATTGTGCACTAATTTAATGACTTTGTCACTTGTGTGGTGGCCCTGAAGTTGGTCTATTCTCAAAAGAAGAAGTATTTAAGATTGTCGCAGACTGACAGACAAATCATCATCGCCCAACGTCATGTTTTCTGAAATGCTATGTTTACAAATGTCATGATCTTATATTAGCTCAATTAGCTCAAAGCTAAAATCTGGCATATTTACACTTGAGCATTATTTGTCTAAAGTGTTCATTAATGTGGATTGTCCCTATTCAAATAAACGATCAAATGAAAATGAAAAAAATTATTTAAAAACATTTTATGTAGAAGTATCATAGGTTTACTTTTATGGGCATATGTGAGCTTAGACATTTAAAAATACTTCCACAGAATGATCTTCTTTACTTACTTCAGGGTTTTCCCAGACAGTTGCATTCCTGTGAAGCGGATACAAACTTGTTCCAATACGACTCCCTACAAATAAGAGCAAAACAAAAATGTATTTGTAATAAGATTGTGCAGGGAAAAACAATTCATATATTATGTTTGAGACAATTTTGTAAACCTGCTGCTATAAGTCAAACAGTGAAGGTTAACAGCTTCATTTGTGCAAGCTTGACTCAATAAAAATAACTGTTTTCAAAGTTAATCTTTATCTTTTACCGCAGGGTATAAACGTTTGATGCATGCAACTGTATGGTGCTGTATTCACATTCATCTGCAAATAACCATTAAAGACAAACCTGCAGGCAAAGTCCTTCCATCAAAAAAGGTAATGGTCTTGGTGGTGATTCTGGACATTCCTGGTACCGGAGGGTAAAGGCGGAGGGACTCTTTTATGAACATTGTAGTGTATGGAATTTTACTGAGATCCTCCCTAAAAAGTAAACAGACAAGTGTTAGTTCAACAATTTGCAGCACTGACATACATTGCATTGTTTCCAAATGTAAGCCTACCACTCCATGGTGTCCTTGCCATCCAGGGCTTGAAGGACCTCATCCCGGCACATCTTCTGGTACTCTGGGTGGCAGGCCAGAGAGTAGAGGATGAAGGACATGGCACTGGCTGTAGTGTCATGGCCTGCAAACATGAAGGTGTCCACCTCTGCTTGTATATCTTCATCTGACATACCCTGTTTGTTCTCATCCTTAAATATAAGGCAAACTTAAAACATTAGTAATCAACATATTATGTCTTAATGTGACACTACTAATCCAAAAACCTATGATTAAAAACCATACAAATTGCAGGCCTATTGGAATTGGCACAGAAACAGCTAATGTCAGCTAGGTGTCATTGATTAGCTTATTGTGTCCTATTGATTATATGTGCACAACAGAAATGTATAACTTTGAAGTTGCTGCTCAAGAGTCCCTCATAAGAGTAAAATAACCAGATTGTTGCCTTTGTACCAGTGGCCTCATGCTCAGCATATCAATGCTCATTCGAGAAAGCTTCTACGTTTCCTTTTGCCCTAGTGTTTTGCCCCGTGCAGGTTAAGCACATACAGTATAATATTTGCGTCCGATCATCTCAGGTTATAAACATGACACAACTACGCTTTTTAAATGTGCGGCAACTTTAAGACTGTTCATGCTTTAAATATCTCATTACTAAAATTCTCACGATTATTAATTCATTATCTCTATAGAGAGTTTACGGCTTTGACAATTGCAGTTTTTACGTATGTTTTTTTTTTTTCATTGATCAGAAGTGTCTCGTTTTGTGAATTCAATACATGGCACATAACATACTCTCGCTAAGAGAAGGATGTCCAGAAAGTCCACGTTTCTCTTTCCCTGTACGCGATCCAGCTCGTTCTCGTCCTGGAGTGCTTCTTTCCTCTTTCGTATGACTTCCCCTTCAAAATAAGAGAATAATGAATGAGCATATCCCCAGTAACTCTTAAAATGCAGCAACCATAAACCTACAGTTTAGAGCCTTTACAATTTTGATGTATGGGCAAGCTAAATTCAGTTTTAGATTGTCATGAAGGTAATATCTGTGAACATCTTACCTGTGTGACTGTGAGCCACCTTGCATGCTTTTCTTTGTCTGAAGCCATGTGGGCTGAGGTAGAAAATGAGGTCATTGTGGTATGGAAACGTAGTGAACCGCAGGTTAATCAAATTTCTGATCTCATACACTGCCTTGATGTATTCATTTGTTCCGCTGAAATAAGAACGTAGACAAACAGTTCAGACAACTGAGAACATAAACCTGTAATTGTGAATGGCGGCGGGAAAACGTTTGTAAGGACTCGCCTCTCGGTCTGACAGTTGCTGTTGTAGCTGAACGCACACTTCATGATGCTGTCCAGTGTCATAAGGCTCACGTGGTTAAACAATTCAAAGGACTCATTGGTTTTTGCATAACTCTCCCATTTGTCCTGACAACAGTGAAAGAACAGATGTGAGGTCTCTGCAGGACGTGGAAAAAACTTCAACACACTTAGCTGAAACAACTTTGACACAAAATAGCTGCAGCATCTGGAAAGCCTAAGCCTATATTTCCTCCACATCACTTCACCATTGACTACTTATTATAGCACTTTACACAAAAGCATTTTCCTTGTACAATATGTGAAATGTAACTTGGCAAAAAAACTGTCATTAACGTACCAGCATGGTTTTAACAGAGTCTGACATCAGATTTACGTAGGGTTTCAAAACTGCATGATGGAAACCTGGGGTCAAGAGCTTTCTGTGGCGAAACCACTTCTGACCTTCAGACACCAATAAGCCATCACCTGAAGACAGACAGAGGCAGTATGTGTCAGCGAGGGAAGCAGTTTAACAGGAAATACTGGGCAGTAAGCCAAAATATGCTATAGGAGAAAGTAAAAGCAATCTTACCCATCCAAGGCTTAGCAAAAGTATATATCATATCATCTTTTGGCTCTGTTACAAAATAAACAATTACACATTATGTTACATTGACCTTTGTTTATTGAAATGCAGATAATAAACCAATATGGGTCTATACGACGTAGTAAAAAGCATTGTCAAAAGATGAATTTGACTTAACTGCTACATTGTAAAGGTTTATGACTTCAGTAAAGATATAAAACAATGGCTCACACACCTGTAGATGTCAATATAGTTTTCACATAGTCTGGATGGTGAATGTTGAGGAAACAAACAAAGGGACCAAACCATATTGGGAAAGCATAAGGGTACTGCTGTCCCCATTTCAGAATCTTTTTCAAGTCCGACCCATCCTGCTTAAACTGAAAGTAAAAACATAAAAACATAGGTGAAGCTTAACCAATATGCTGGAGCCTGAAGAGGACAACGTTATCCCCTGAGTTGTGATGCTCTAAACTAATACTCAACTGCTAAGTTTAAGCCTTAATTGCATCCAAATTGTTACTTAAATAAATGTAAAGAAGTTCAAATCAGGGACAACCCAAATTAAATAACACCAACTCTAAAGTTGCTTATCTGTTGATCATCAACTAATGGTTAATGTAATCTTTAGTTGACATCTTGACTCAACAGATTATCAACAGATAGTCGACATGACCCTGTTGACTTTCAACTGACAGATTGATTTTGAGTGGTTGATTGTCAATTTTGATGATGTTGACACAATCTACAGATAGTAAGGTTGAATATCGGTTAATAACCTGTTGCAAAAAACATGTTGACAGTCAACAGACACTTTTTGTAAAATCTATAGATCAACACTTGAGATGTACCTTATATTCTCCTGGCAGTTAGTTAAATGCATGTTACTTGTCTGTTGAAACAGTGTTGTTGAATGTCAACTGATGACTTATGGAGTGTTAACTATGGACTATCAAAATAAAGTGTTACCCAATTATGTTGGTGCATGTGGCTCATTAAAAAAAGTACATCTAGTATCTACCTCTTGTATAACTGGTCGGCCCCACCTGCATTAGCAGGTAAACACCATGGAGGAAATAAATACATTTAATACAGCACTTTGGCTCGACCAAAAATCGTTTATAAATGTGCTATATAAATAAAACTTGATTTGATTTGAAGTAAAACCACTTTCCAGCAGTCAGCAGCACATTGTAAAAGCTGTTGATACAACTGTTAACATTCATAATTAAGTAAAGATAACACCCTTTTCACCCCGGTTCCATTTGCCCTGAGAGGCTCAGTGAGGTAAAGGACTGAGTGTTTAGATAGTTCACTTTAGTCTAAGTTATCTCAAACGGTTTTATCACAATTTATGTAAACACATATTTCCAAGGCACACCTTTATAATTATTGGGATAAATAAAAACAGGTTTGAAATCATTCCAATCTATACTATAGGACAGTAAACCAACAATATCCTTTAAAACTGGAGAGATTAAAAAATATGGATAAACAAATAAATGTTAACTGGTAAAATAAGATATAAATGAACCAGCAAAAATCTTGCCTAGAGCAGCAAATTGGTCAGAACCGGCCCTGGTGTCATCCCCACAGCACCCCCCATTTGAAACATGTTCTAACCCTAACCCTACTTGACAATGAACCTGTTTCTGATTCTATTATTATTAATACATTATTATTATTACTTGCTCCTTGCACTTGCTTCTGCGTCACTGAGCAGTCATTATACACATTACCTCCTTCAGATGTCCAAAGAGCCAGTGCGACGGTGGTCCTGGAAACAATTCCATACTTTGCATCGCAGCTCTTCTTTGGGCGAGCAACATTGTCAACTTATAAACAATGGCAACAACACAGAGCACCGCGATCAAGTGGTCGATGTGGGGTAAGCCCAGCTGATACTTCACGTAACCCTCAGTTGACTCCATGCTTGCGACTACCTTGATGATGAACAGTGATTCACACAACACAGTTTTGTGTGTGTGATGCAACCACCGGAATGTGGGTGGATAATGTGGCCCGAACACTGTTCAGGCTCAGTCTGTAAGGCAAATGTATTTATATAGCACCTTTCAACACAAGGCAATTCAAAGTGCTTTACAAAAAATGAAAGACATTAAAGGTGGGGTAGGTAATTTTGGAGAAACCAGCTCGAGTGCGCTAGAATTTGAAAATACACAACCGGAGAAAATCTGCCACTTCCTTACAGAGCCCCTCCAACACACATGAACGCGCACTTGACCAATGAGAGCACGAGATAAGTTTGTGCACAGATGGAAGGCTGACAGGCAGGTAGGCCATCCAGTTATTTTAGCCGGGCCGGCTAAAATGGCATTTAAAATCAGTCATTAAAAAGAAAAGATAATAAAAGAAACATTAAAAGAAAAAATACATGGATAAAAGTTACAGTGCAGTTTAAGATGTGAATAGTTCAATTAAAAGCAGCGGCAAAAAGAAAAGTCTTTTGTCTGCATTTAAAAGTAGTCAGAGTTGCAGCGGACCTGCAGGTAGTAGTGTCGTCACACTCACAGCCGAATGAGGCTCCAGTTTTTTAGTAAAGTTTAAGTTGACATTTAGTTCTTTCTTTTCGGGTGTAAAACCTGTGTCAAAGGTTTTACACCCGAAAGAAGGAACTTAATGTCAACTTAAACGTTACTAAAAAACTGGTGATTTGACACAGGACTCAAAGCAGACAGAAATTGTCTTTGAAGCTGGTTTCCCATTTGTAGACGTTATTGATCTCACCCCCCCCCCCCCCTATCCATATTGTGCCCTGTGCTAATTAACATCAAAGGAGCGTTGTTGCGTACTGCTGTAACTTATACTCACACAGATGTGCTGGCTGTGAAAATATAGGGAGAAAAATGTATGAGAGCTGATATGATTATGACCTGCATCATTTTAGAACAAGTTTGCCCAGCTGGGAATGGACAGAAATTCTAATTAGCTTGATTAAAAGAATTCTCATAAAGTTAGCCTTGATTTGCTGCCAGATCCTTACTACAACTTTTAATGCAGACTTTTAAACGATAATCAAAAACAAAAATCAAAGCCTGAGGTTGTGTTGGAAATCAAACACAGTGTTCAAGCTCCTCCGAATTAGCCCTGCCCTTACTTTGAAATCCAACAGCGCCATGGACAGGAAATTTGACAGAAAAAGCTGTTAATCCATTTTAAGCAGAGATTGAAATGTCTCCAAGTGCTTACATTGGAATAACCCGAGTGGGGACGCAGCGATGAGATCATCACATTTATAGTCAGCACAAATCAGGCAACTCTGAATAACTTCTCAAAACATTTACTTAATTTACAAAGAAAGCTTTTTGTTCTGAATAACGCTTTGTGGTTAATCGAGAGGCTTGAATATCCCGAACATGTCTATAGCTTTGTCATTTGGGAGTGTGTGGGAGAGAAACTCCCTTTGGAGGGAACTCAGGGATTTTAGCCTTTGCAAGATTCAAGGCTTTTATTGTCATTCGTACATAGCTACAGTGTAGTTATTGTGAGGGAAACTTCTGTAGCAATGGAGAGTCAGGACTCAAAGAGACACGAGGAGAGCTGGAGCTTTGATGGCAAACACTGATGGTTTATTTGGAGTTATGGCCGGAGAATTGACAAGACAGGTGGTGTGTCACGAGTTGACACAGCGGTTGCCGAACCAATTCTGAAGAACTCTTCTGCAGCTCGAGGTTTTAACTAGTTCGGAGTGTAATAATCAACATTCTTTATCAGTGAGACTAAACAATTATGGACCCTGAATCTAACTAGAGCTCTCATCCATAGGGAAGAATGTGCGCCAGGGAACCTGAACTGAACTGTAAACTACCTCATGGCGGCTTGTGCTCTGTCATAGACTGGCAACAACAGTGCGCCCAAGCTGCCCCTCCTAAAGAGAGATAGCAGCAATACCCAAGGCCGTAGACCTATGCCATGGGAAAAGAGACAGTGAGAGGAGAAAATTATTAACTGTGTCAAAGGTTGAATACCTAATTAAATTATTCCCTAACAGTTATGTGTATGAAAATCTTAGGTCCCAGGCTCCTCCAACAGTGCAACACAATAACACAGATAAAAATAGTGCAAGTAAATACAATCAAATAGAATAGAAGTAGTGCCATAAGAGTCTATATACAAGTGATACATCATTTGTGAGACCATTAACATGCACACAAACCTATAGAACAATTGAAAACCCCAAATAGCTGAATTGGGCCCCTTTTTAAGAAGATGCAATTTGAGCAGGAACGTACAAAAGTGTTGATGAAATGTGCAACGGTTACAAAGGTTTTACACGGTATGAAAAAGAGTATTCAATGTTAAGGGATACACTGTATTCCCAAAGATAATGTAGCACATATAGACCGTTGGGAGGATCAACTTTAGAGACTTTTCTTCCACTCTATTTTTGGTGCTCTCAACACTTTTCATATCAGAGTTCAAGCATTTATTCTCTATCCTGTTTAAAAAACTGACATCAGCAGGTTTCACCGCGAGCAACACAAGGTGTTCAATGCTTCAAATTCAAGCTGCGTCTGCTCGGTTCAAATATTAAGCAGCTTTGGAGCATGTTCGGCTGGATTAGGGGACTTGTGTGGATTGTGTAAATCTGCTGTGTCACAGCCCCGAATGTTGTCGGCCAGATTCTTGTTAGCCGTCCAACAGGCAGATGGACCTCACTTGGAGAGATTGTTTTTCATGCTAATGCTCGCAGGGTTAAATGGCCTGGCTTTGTAAATGGACTTGCAGGAATAAATACTAAACCCTGGTGTTATTATTATTTTTGTCAGTGTGTCACAGTTGTTGTGCTGGAGTGAAAGCAGAGATTAAAGCAATTTGTGGCCAACAGGTTCAAATGTGCTACAACGGCACAAAACATTTCTATTAGAAGAGACATGCTGCAGCTTCAGCAATGATGCAAATATACAAACACAAATGTACCAAAACACATGCAAATGAGGAACATCTTCACCAACTTGACAACACATTCAGCATTTAGAAAACATTCACCAACTTGATGACACATGCACATCGCTTTCTGAAAGTGCTGCATGAACGAAACGCTGCAAGAAGCTCAAAGCTCAACAGAAACCAAGGGACACTAAATAGTGACGCACAAAGCTGGGACCGAAGCACTTGTTGACGTTCAGGGATTATAAAATTGGCCAACTTTCACTGTATATACTGTATGTCCATTACCTCATCATTATTATAAACCATGAGTCATACAAACCCAGTAACATTCCCATCAGCCTAATATTACATATATATGTTACATACATGTTATTTGTTAGATGCTTTTATCCAAATTACATACTCAGTACTGTGGACAATCCCCACAGGAGCAATTTGGGGTGAAGTGTCTTGCCCAGGGACACAACGTCATGCTGACTGCAGTGGGGTTTGGACCTATAGTCCACTGCGCCACAGCCTAATAAGCTAATATTAGAATGCTAACATTAAGACGAACATTATTCCTTACATTAATGAAAATTAACGTTAAAATCAAATTTAGAGAAAGCAATGTGAAAGTAATCAAGTCATGCTCGCCTCTTTTCACAATGTTGTAAGCAAAAGCTCACTGGCATAGCAGTCCCATTGTCACAATCTTAAGGAGAACCCAAATGCAGCACTCGAGAAACCAAGGAGAATTGGTAATACACTTTATTGGAGATTCCACTGGATCTGAGGAATTCCAACCAAGCAGTTTAACGCACCGGAGGACAGCGGGCAGAAGGTGAGTCAGGGACAGGCAGAGAGTCAGGGAGTAAGCGAGGCGGTCAGCGGGGATACAGGCAGGGTCGGATAACAGGCCAGACAGGATAGTCGAGGGACAGGCAGGATCAGGGGACAGGCAGAGCAGGCAGATCGAGGACAGGCAGGGTCGGAACCGGGTAGGCAATCTAGTTTCAAACGCGGGAAAGACAAGCATGAGGCAAAGTACAATCTGGCAAAGAGTGTGTGTAAGGTGCGGGTTTAAATACTGGCAGAAGCTAATGGGTGCAGAAGAGAAAGAGAGTGAGCCAATGAGTGGGTGTGGAAAACAGGTGAGACAGGTGAATGGAAAACTACTGGTGAATGATGGAGCAGACTATGACACCCATTGCAAAAAAAAATCACTTATACATTATTTTAAAATGTAAAGGGATTTAAAAGCATCTTTCTGTGGTTAAATTAATTATATTGCTTCCAATGTTCCATCTAATACTATAAGCCTTGTCTTTGTGTTGATTCATATCAGGTTTCCCTTGTGAGTCCAATCAAGAAACACTCCATCAACAAATACAATCTTTATCAACAGCAAAGAAGATATGAATAGTGATGTACTGAGCCGCAGCCTCGTAAATCATTTGGCGTGTGTGTGAGTGAAGACATTACACACCGGGTGGTTAAGTGACGGGAATGAAAACAATTTTCCTGCTGCATGTGTGTGTCTGATTATCATGCAGCCGTAAATCCACCACGAGGCTGACGGGCTCTTGTTTCTGTAGTTTCACGGATAGCGATGTAAAGCGAATCAATAAAATAAATTGACATCTTTATTAAGCTCATTGCTCCAGTGAAGTGTTTTGGAAGGTATTTACCGAGCTCTCTTCGTCCCGCGACTGATGGATGAGCTGCTGTCACACTAAACAGTCCTGTTTAAAGTTCTGCTTTTCACACATTGCGAAATTGTCAAAAAAAAAGAAAAAGAAGAATCAAGAAAAAAGTAATCAGACCGTAGATCTAAGTAAAAATAACCACTCCTTAAGCCCCGAGCATGTTTTTCAGGTCTCAGGCTCGAAAATGACATTCCCAGAACAAATGACCATATCTTCTAAAAGGGTTAAATTAATAATCTTTTTTCTCAAAGCAAGGTTACATCTGTGAGTTGGATGTAGAAGTGTCTGAATCAATATAGATGTTTTTATTGTAAATTCAGATTGAACAC